GAATATAAGTATGTCTGAGACTAATATGTCTAGATTTCCCATTATAAATATTGCTATATGCTCTAGACATTGTAGCCTCACTATCACAGTGCAAGGAAATGGCTGGCATAGGTTGTGGCCACAACTTTATATCAAGCAATAAATTTCTCAACCATTCTGCTTCTTTGCTTGCTACTACTAAAGCAATAAACTCAGATTCCATTGTAGAATGTGAGATGCATGTTTGTTTCTTTGATGCCCAACTTATTACACCTCCTCCAAGTGTAAAGATCCAACCCGAAGTAGATTCGTTATCACTCTTACTAGTGATCCAACTTGCATCAGTGTATCCTTCTAAGACCATTGGATAATCTGAGTAAATCAAACCAAGCTCTTTTCTCTTTTTAAGATAACCAAGAATTCTTCTAATAGCTTTCCAATGTTCATGGTGTGGTTTACTTGTGTATCTTGATAATTTGGATATTGCAAAGGCTATATCTGGCCTAATACAATGCATGGCATACATTAAACTCCCTATTGCACTTGCATATTCTTAAGGTCAACTTCATACTAGGATTATGTGGAGTAGGGGCTTCCTTTATATTAAGATGTTGGAATTTATTCAACATCTTCTCTATATAATGTGATTGACTAAGTACAAAGCCATGATCATGTCTCTTTACTTTAATACCCAAAATAGTATCTACTTCATTTAAATCTTTCATTTTGAAGATTGAAGTTAAATACTTTTTGGCTTCATTTATTCCCAACATGTTGGTACCAAATATCAACATGTCATCAACATAGAGACATACTATAACTCCATAATCCTTAGTAAACTTTGAATAAATACTCTTATCATTATGCTTGAATCCATTTGTTGGAATATGTGTATCAAATTTCTAGTGCCATTGCTTGGGAGCTTGCTTTAGGCCATATAGTGACTTAACTAATTTACAAACTTTTCTTTCATTTCCAGGAAGTATGAAGCCTTCTGGTTGTTCCATGAATACTTCCTCACCTAAGTCACCATTCAAGAATGCTGTTTTAACATCCATTTGATGCACAAACATCTTATAAATCGAAGCCAATGCAAAGAGAACTCTTATAGATGTTATTTTTGCAACAGGAGCATATGTGTCAAAATAATCTATTCCTTCCTTTTAAGTAAAACCTTTTGCAACCAACCTTGCTTTGAAGGTTTGTATTGTTTCATCTATATTGTATTTTCGTTTAAATACCCATTTACAACCAATTGGTTTAGAGCCACATAGAAGATCCACTAAAATCCAAGTATTATTGGACATGATAGAGTCCATCTAATCATTCACAGCTTTTCTCCAAAAAGCTACATCCCTTGAAGCCATTGCTTCTTGAAATGTTTTTGGATCTTCTTCAACATTAAATACCATGGATATTTTTCGAATTATTTCAGTTCTGGTTGCTTCAACTAGGAAGACAATAGATTGAGAAGAAATAAAATCAGGATCAAGAGACTTTTCTCTCCTAATCCTTATACTTCTTCTTGGTTCAATTGAACCATCATTCTCTTTTCTTTTCTCCTCATGAACTATACTTGTACTTGTACCATTATGATTTCATGCATTGAATTATTCAAAGAATTTCCAGAATCAAATATGGTAGAAGAATCTTTAATAAACTTGTCTTCAAAGAACTCAACATGTACAGATTCTACTATAACATTTGACTCTAAATCTAGTAACCTATAGGCCTTAGAATTAATTGCATCTAGGTCCTAATTTTGTTCTTTGTGGGTTTGGAACCTTGTAAAAGGCAAGACACCCCCACACTTTGAGATAATTCAGATTTGGTTTTTTACCATTATTCCAAGTCTCATGTGGAGAAACATGAGTTTTCTTTGATGAAATTCTATTGGTAACATGATTGGCAGTAAGAAGTGCCTCTCCCCAAAGATTAAATGGCAACTTTGAATTTATCAACATGCAATTAACCATGTCAACCAAAGTTTTATTTTTCCTTTCCACCAAACCATTCTGTTGGGGTGAATAGGGGGCTGTTCTTTGATGTATGATACCATGTTCTTCACAAAATTGTCAAAACATATCTGAAAAATACTCACCACCGCTATCACTATGAAGAGCTTTAATTCTCTTCTCTTTCTGATTTTCCACAATAGATTTATACTCTTTAAACTTGTCAAAAGCCTCATCTTTTGTTCTCATAAGATACACATATGTATATCTAGAACAATTATCAATAAATGTTATGAAGTATCTTTTACCTCCTTTAGTAAGATAACCATTTAATTCACAAATATCAGAATGCATTAATTCTAACATTTCTGTATTTCTTTCTCTTTTTGGAAAAGGTTTTCTAGTCATCTTTCCTTGCACACGAATTTCACATTTATTTTTAAAATCATTTTGACAAGTTAAATATCCATGCTTAGACATATATTTTAATGATTCATAATTCACATGTCTTCGTCTAGCATGTCATAAAGTAGATGAACACTCAACAATATTAGCAGAAACATTATTTATTTCATTAATACTCAATTTGAACATTCCATCACAAGAATAACCTTTCCCCACAAAGTTGCCATTTTTTGATATAATGGCCTTGTCTGATTCTAAGACAACCCTCAAGCCCCTTTTACACAACATATTTATAGACACCAAGTTCTTTCTAATATCAGGCACATGGAAAACATTAACCAAGGTCAATTTGTGGCCCAAAGTGAACCTTAATTCCACTGTGCCTTTGCCTAGAACTTTTGCTGTGACATTGTTTCCCATAAGCACTTCCTTAGTTCCTTCAAATCTTCATAAAACTTGAATTGTGCTTTGTTATTGCACACATGAACTGTTGCACCAGAATCCAACCACCAATCCATAGACTTGGTTGGATTTGCCATGTTCAATTCAGTCACCATCCCGACTTGCATATCAAAAACCATAGCAACCAATTCATGCTCAATCAAATTTGCCTTGTTGCTTGTTTCTACACTGGTGCCAGAACCGAAGTTCTTTGCATTATTCCTAAATTTGCAATCTTTAATAAAGTGACCTTTCTTACCACAATGGTAACAAGGCTGACTTTTCTTGAAAGAAGCCTTTCTTGAAGGCATTGTTTTCCTTAAGAGGCTTGAGTTTATTCTGGAAAAGCTTGGCAGAATTTTGACTCACATAATTAACTTTCAAGGGTGCCAATATTGCATCTCTTAAACGATTTTCTGCCTCAATCTGGAGATGTGTTTGAAACTGTTCCATAGTCAGAATTTCATCTGAATGCAAAACCTTTTTCCTATAATCATTCCAAGATGGAGGAAGTTCTGAAAATATTGCCCCCACTTAAAGTGAATCTGGAATCTTTATCTCCAACTCTAACATTCTTGATACCAGAATTTGTAATTCATGCACTTGATCCATGATGGAAATATCATCTTTCATTTCAAACTCAAAATATTTAAGTGCAAGAAACTTATCTGTACCTTTCTTTTCATGTTTGTATTTCTTTTCCAGAGCAATCCAGATTTCTTGAGGAGAAAACATGTTGCGATACAGATCATAAAATCTAGGTTAAATACCCTTTTTGGTCCCTCTACTATAAGAAAAGGCCCTTTTTTAGTCCCTATATCGAAAAAATCCCCTTTTTGATCCTTACTGTTTGAAATCCGGCCCCTTTTTGGTCCTTCCGTTAAATTTTAGCTGATGTGGCAGGCTAACTAACGGAAAAACTTATTTTTTCTTTATTTTAATTATGTGAAAAATCCACCTAGTACAACTTGATGACATGGCCAAATTTTTTTGTTTAATTTAACCTTAAAAATCATTTAATTACATAATTGTCATTATAAATATTTTAAAAATTATTTTGTGATTAAAAACACTTACTTTTAATTACTTATTTGCCCCCATCTTCTTCCCACTTTTGTCTTATCCTCTCTTGCCTCATCTTCTTCCCCTTTCTGTCTTATGCCGCTAGGTTCGTCACGAACCTAGATTTGTCACGATGATCCAATTCTTTGAATGATCAAATCAATAGTCAAAATTCAAACACGAAATCAAAATATTTCATACTTAGAATTAGTAGATGCAAGCTAAAATCTAATATAAAAACCAAGATACATAATAGAAAAGATTCGAATCTCCAACTACAATACTCAAAATCATTCGTAAGAACGATCTAATCATTAGATGAAATTCAAAAGCTAAATCCACATTATTCATGTTCAAAGACAGTGAAAACGAAAAATGGAATACGAAATACAAAGTCCTAGCATTCAAACATAATCAATAGATAAACCAGGAGCTGGGTTTGTTGTGAACCCAGTCTAGATCTTGGGTTCGTCACAAACCCAGCCTAGATCCTGGGTTCGTTTTGCGAACCCAGGTGCTGGGTTAGCATCACGAACCCACGCAAACCCAGGCGTTGGGTTCACATCACGAACCCACGCGAACCTAGGCGCTAGGTTCGTGATGCGAACCCAGGCACTAGGTTAGCATCACAAACCCACACGAACCTAGGCGTTGGGTTCGCGTCACGAACCCACGCGAACCCAGGTGCTGGGTTTCCCATCACGAACCCAAGCAAACCCAGTGCAAACCCAACGCTGGGTTTGCAAAGATCCTAGCGAGATCTGAAAGGGAAAAAAAAAAGGCTAGAGGAAGGAAGAAGATGGGGGCAAATAAGTAATTAAAAGTAATTAATCACAAAATAATCTTTAAAATATTTATAATGGTAATTATGTAATTACATGATTTTTAAGATTAAATTAAACAAAAAAAACTTGGCCATGTCATCAAGTTGTACTAGGTGTATTTTCCACATAATTCAAATAAAGAAAAAAATAAGTTTTTCCATTAGTTAACCTGCCACATCAGCCAAAATTTAACGGAATGATCAAAAAGGGGTCGGATTTCAAACAGTAAGGATCAAAAAAGAGATTTTTTCGGTACAGGGATTAAAAAAGAGCTTTTTCCTATAGTAGAGGGACCAAAAAAGGTATTTAACCTAAAATCTATCAGTGAGAGAATTTAGAATGTGTCCACGACATATAAGTTCATCTTCTTCACGCTTCTGTCTTGCATTCTTAACTCCTTTAGCATTGTTTTCCTTCGGTGCTGGGATAGGTTGTAGTTTTCGATCAAGAACGTATGACACCTTCAATGTTGTTAGTAGGAAAGTCATCTTATCCTTCCAACACGTGTAATTGGTGCCATCGAACCTATCCAATCTCACTACATCTGGATTCAACAACTTGATGTTGGCGTTCAAAGGAAGAGCCATAAGAAATTTTAAATCCTTAAGATTGTTAAGAAATATGAAATAACAGAAGAATAAAAGAATTGTTCTGAGACGTGATCTCACTTTCCTTAAGGATTTAAAATCCTTCAAGATACAACAGAACTGAAAACTCTCTCAGAATTACATATAGAACTTTGACTTTGCATAGGAATTTATAATGTCTAAAAAGTTACTATTTGAAGGGATGTATCCCTTCAAAAAGACACCATTTCATAGAGGTACCTTTTGACTGACAATAATCATATTTGATTTTCAGACATGTCTTTCCAAATTATAATTTAATAAAATAAAATAAAATAATCTAAAAATAATAAAAAATTAAAGATGTTCTGGCAATCAAACACCCCAAGTGCCCAAGTGCCCATCTTTTGACTATATATAAAGGGCCAAGGGCCAATTTCCCTTGGATTTCACTTTACTTAATTATTTGTTGATAAAGAATAGGTATTTATAAACTCCTTTAAGTTCCCATACTTTCTTGATGTGGGATCTCAAACATTTACAAACTATTCAACATTCCAGGCTTCTCAATTGTATATGTGTATCAGGTTCACTAATTATGATGAATGAATGTAGACTGCTTATATTCTGTAATCATATGTTGATACCCAAAAGATGTTATCAGATCTATTTGTTATTGAATGCTTATGATCAAAATGACAAGAGTTATAGTTAAATGATATTCAATGGTCAGTGATGATAATTATTGATACTGATGATCAATGAGGCATAAGATCCCATTGAGAGCATTGAAACATTGTCGCATACAACCTGCATTGCATTGTTTTCTATGGGGGGTATTGACCTATGCTAAAAGCTAAGTTGTGCTCAAGTGAGCAGCCATCGTTATTGTTATTGACCACTGTGCAGTTAGGTATGCCATGACAAGTTCTGGCAGAATGTGACTGTACCACATATTGATTAGTTGAGTCCATGCCATTGTATTTGTATTGAGAACATATCCTTAGAATACTTTCTGTAATCAAGGTTAAGGTATTAGACATACTTTCTGAGATTAAGTATTGAAGCATGAATTGAGTGTGCTTGTTTGCTAATAGCTTTACTGATATTGATTACAGGTTAATTCAACTAAACCTATTGTTTTGTATTCTGTTATAACTACAAGCTTATGATGGATTAACCGAATGATCTTCCTAAATTGGTTAAGAGTTCTATCATGGCTCTAAGCTATACCTTACACTTATTGGAAGCTGTAACTTATACTTATTGGGTTTCACAGCCCACATGGTTGCTTTTCCAACCATTTCAAATTAGTCCTAAGAGTGTAGTATAATTGGGAATTCTCGAAGTTTAGGAGCTTTCTGTGGTTGCTATTGTGAACAAGCTTCCTCAAGCTTTTTAAGGGAAACTTGAATCTGCCCAAAACTGTATCCTAGCTCAAAGTTCTTTGAAAACCTATTTGGGTTACTTGTAAAACTATTATACCCTTTTTTTAAAGAAGAATTTATTTGCCGACCATATGTATAATCTAGACTTTGGAACTAAACAGTGATTTTTCTTGTTTAAGCTAGTATTTTAAAGTTCAGGCTTCTTGCACCATTGACATGATTTTTCTAAAGCTATTTACAACACTGCAAACTTTAATATAATAGCTTAGGCTATAAACTACAGAAGGTTCCTGTTTACACCATAAATTGTAAAATTTTAAGATAAAGCCACATGTAAAATATTTTTTGGTGGATGGAGGAGATTAAGTCAGGTCAGATTCGTAATTCTGGGTCCCATGACAGATTAGCTGTCATTTTGGCAAATAAAGAGAGATAAACATGAGATTTTACTGTATAATTATCTTTTGGAGGTAAAAGGGGACTATTTGACCTAAAATATAGGAGAGGATTGCAGTTAAAGAGGGGTTTTATCTTATAAAGATACAGATGACGAAAATCTGTAAGGAGATTAAACCAAGTCAATTGGTGAGCTGTCCCATTATCTCAAGAAACCACACATGATTGTGTAACTGCAGAAAGTGGAGGTTACTGCCGGCACAAGGAGAACAAAAAGGAAATTTTGGAAAGGAGAACACACGGTCAGCCCTACTCAAACATCTGCAAATTTTCAGACTTTATTTTCTCTGCACTCTGCTTCCAGATTTTGAATTTCAGCACAGATTCCAGTAGAATTAGGTTGTTTTTCATCATTCCAGTAGACAAATTAATTCATGTATTCAGTTCAACAATTTCCTTTCATGCAATGAACTTCAATCTTTCAAGTTTATGCAAGGTACTATTCTCTTTCTATTTGCAATTAATTTAATATTTATGATAAATAGCATTTATTCTATGATAAATAACATTTATTCAATTATTACTTATGTGGTGTTCACACTTCTTTTCAACTTCAAGCATGTTATTTTAATTACTGTTCATGTTAATTTTAATGTTAATTAGGGTAAAATCTTTAATTCTGTAGCATTTTAATTTCTAAATTTGCCAGTAGATAGCATTTTAATTTAACAATGAACATGTTTGATTTAATTTGGGCACATTTTATTCTCATAAATTTATTTTAAATTGCAAGTTATTTAGCTCAATTAAGATTTGTTAATTTTAAGTTACGGTAGTGTTTAAGTCCTTGGAGTTGTCCAAGGCAGATTTCGTAACCCATTCTGCAGGAAGGTATCCCTCCCTCTTGCAAATCGTCTGTAGGCGCAAATTTCAATTTTAATCCAACGTTCTTCCTGCCATCCACAAGGAGGTCAACCGTGAGGAAGAAGAAGGTCATTGGGAAAGTCCTCCTTTCTTACTTTCAGCAAAGTAAGTGGCACACCCGCATCCAGATTTAACACGTGCAAGGCTAGTAAAGCATTTTTAGGGAAACAATCCTTTTTTGGCACACCTGGTGGGAGCTTACCATGTCTTACTCACAATTTTCATATCCGTTGTTCTTTTTTCCAAGAAAAAGTGTAATCATGCCACCAAAAAGAAACGTTGGGAAGGCTACCCAGACTTTACAGATTGGGCTTGGTGAAGGTAGTCCAGCACACTCAGAAGGAGAGAATGAGCCAATCATTCCACCACCATTGTCACCAATACTTGAGGAGCACTCTTTTGTCAATCCAACCTTCAACAAGGATAGTGAATCTGGAGATGATGTTGCTCAATCTGGTGACTCCTTTATGAAAACTGTGTTGGAACAGATTAGCATCATGAGGCGCACACAGTTGGAATCTAAGAAAAGAGCTCAACAAAGAAGCCAAGAGGTTGCTAGACAGTTGGATGAGTCTTTTCAGAATCTGGCTCAAAATTTGGCCCAAAGTGTAGCTCAAAGTGTAGTTGACATGCGACGCTCCAATGAAGAAAGTGCCAGAATCTGGCGCAAGCAAAATGCAGAAAATTGGAGAGCTTTCCAAGCTGAAACAGAACAAATGTAGGAGGCATTTTGACGTGCTAGAATTGAACCTAAACCACAAGCAACAGATCTTCAAAGGCATAATTAGAATATTCCAGCTCCAACATTCAAGGGGCAAGTTAATTTGCCACAACCACCTCCCCAGATTCAGCAGGTAGCAAGCCGACCAGTGCAGCCAGATCCTGTTGAAGTTGCACCACATGCAGCAGATCTGGGAAATCACCAGCAGCCCAAATATCTGCCCCCTCCGCGCCGACCAAATGGAGGACACCCACAACATAATGCACCTCCATTAAGGGAGCATTTTCAGCCTTATGTGCCACCCATGCAATAGAATCTTCAAGGTCTGCCAAGGTAGTACATCATGATCAGATCATTGATCTGGTGCAGGAGGCTTTTGGTCCAGTTTTGAGGCCTTCAGTTAGACCAACTTACAGAAATCATATCCAGATTTCATAGACCAAAAGAATCCTTTTCCAAGGGGGTTCAAGGTTCCAGAATTCACTCTATTTTTTGGAGATGGTGGATATTCTACAATTGAACACATAGGCCACTTCACAATTCAGTGTGACGAGGCCTCCAGTGATGATAATCTGAAACTTAGACTTTTTCCCAGTTCTTTAACTAGTACAACTCTCACCTGATATCTAAGTCTACCACAGAATTCAGTTTACACTTGGAGACAGATAGAGGATCTTTTCCATATCCAGTTTTACCACAGTGAGCCAGAAGTGTCCATGGCAGATTTATCTCGTCTGGTGCAATGACCTGAAGAAACATCTGAGGCCTTTCTTGCCAGATTTTGGAAGGCCAGACTTAAGTGCAGAGTTGCCCTGCCAGAACAGGAATTTGTCAAGCTGGCACAAAATGGTCTGGACATTGAGTAAAGGAAAAAGTTTGAGGGAATGGAGTTTCGTGATTTCTTTGAGTTGTCTTACAAGGTGGCTCATTATGAAAATTTATTGCGAGAAGATACACAAAGGAAATCTGCATCTCATGGGACTAACTATGGTGATGCTAACTTTGATCTGGATGTGGCAGAAGTGGTGGCAGACAAACCAGTTGTTTGTCCAAATTTGATTAAAGTGGCCCAACAAACTAACAAAACAATAAAGCGTTATATCGGAGAGGCTGGAAAACAATACACCTTTGACATCTCAAAGACTAATGAAATCTTTGACCACCTTAAAAAGAGTAGTCTAATTAAGTTATCGCCGGGACATAAAATCCCAATGGCTAGCAAAATTGGAAATATAGAATATTATAAATATAATAATTCTTAGAAACATTCAACTAATGATTGTGTAATTTTTCAGAATGTTTTACAGGATAAAATCGACAAGGGAATTCTGCGTTTTCCAGATAAGGCCAAAGAAACTATGGGAGTCGATGCAGATCCGTTCCCTAGCATATCTGATGGGGTGAATGTAGCAGATCTCAGGAGCATTGCCAGAGACAAAACTCTGTCATATACTAGGCGCAGACTTGCAGCTGATGATCTGAGGTGGGTCATTGAGGAGGCAAGGGCCCGCAGAAATCAAGTCAGATTAGGCTCATACCGAAGGAGACAGCCTTGGGGGCATAACCCAACTCAACAGAAAAATAATGCAAATCAGGGAACTACGATATTTGGACGTGCAGAAAAGCCTAGGATGGTGAAACCACCACTCAGATCTCCAAGCAAACGGTGGGAACGTGTGGTGCACCCAAAATTCCCTAAGGGTCAGAATCCAAGGACCTTTAAGGAGGCACTTACAATGTAAAAAGGGCAGCAGAAAGACACCAACAACAAATTGCAGACTCGGGGGGCATGGCAGATCAGACTTAGCCGCTCCCAGCAAGAAGAAAATCAGTGTGGGTCCGTAAAAAAAAAGGGAGCACATCTAGTCATAATTCTCTAGAAAAGGAGGAACCACCCAGAAATCCAACATCGCCTCGAGTTCTGGCTGTGGAATCAAATGAAGAAACCGGTTTAAAGGCAAAATTTGACATGTCAGCTAAAGCGAAAAATTCATTAGATGTAATTCATTTTGGTGAATTCTCCGTGAATTTATCTTGTTTGGTGATCACTCTTCCTTTGGTTTTTTAAGCTAGAGAACAGTCAAAATCCGCAGTCTGTCAGTAGACAAATCAAACTGAGGAAGAAGGAGTCATTGAGATCCCAGCTAATGAAGATGGAGATTTGGATTTAGCAAATAAAATTATTTTTGAAAAACCAGAAGAGAGGATGGCCAGACATATCAGGCCATTATACATTCATGCACATCTAGACGGCATGTCGATAAGCCGAGTTCTAGTTGATCATGGAGCAGCTATGAATGTTTTGCCAACTTGTATGTTGCACAAAATTGGCAAATCTTTGGATGACTTAATGGAGACAAAAGTGACAATCAGTGACTTTACTGGTGGGGTAAATCACTCAAGGGGAATTCTGCACGTAAAACTGACTGTGGGGAATAAAACTCTCATGTGTGCATTCTTTGTGGTTGATACCATTGCCACTTATAATGCATTACTTGGGAGAGATTGGATACATTCCAGCTAGTGTGTTCCTTCAACTCTGCATCAGAAACTAATATTTTGGAATGGTGGCAGAACTGAGGTTGTGATAGCATATGACAAGCCTTTTGTGGCAAATACCAATGCAGTGGAAGCTCGTTATTATGATGAAGATCGTTATTATGATGAAGATATTGGAACTATCCATTTCTTTGGGATGGACCGTTATGGCAAACCTTCTAGAATTACTGCTTGCACCAGATCTGCATTGGACAGACATAATGTGAAGGAAGTTTGTGATGAACTTCTTTGGCCTACAGCAATTGTTCCTTTTAGGCCGAGGAAGGAGCCTGAAATTGAAGAAATTCCATGAAGAAGGATCGCATTAAGCACCAGAAAAAGGAGGTCGTGGAAGAAATCAAAAGAAAATTAGCGACCTATCTTGCAGAAAAACGGATCTAAGTTGACAGATCTGAGGTGGTCTATGAAGGAGAAGATGAGGACTTAAAGGATTAGATAACTCTGGAGGAATTAAATCTGGCACTAGTAAAACTCAATGATCTGAAGGCAGAAGTACAAGATCCCCTAGAGGAGGTAAATCTGGGTACTGAGGCAGATCCGAAAATTACTTTCATTAGCAGTTCTCTTGAGTCGTGTTTGCATGATAAAATCATTAATATCTTGCATGAATACAAGGATTGTTTTGCTTGGGATTATTCTAAAATGCCAAGTCTGGACAGAAATCTGGTGGAGCACAGATTACCCATTAGAAAAGACTTTAAGCCTTTCAAACAGCCGCCCAGACGAATGTCTCCAGAAGTCACTTTGAAAGTAAAGGAAGAAATAGAGCAGCTGTTAAAGGTTGGTTTCATCAGAACCTCTAGATATGAGGAGTGGTCATCTAACGTGGTCCCCGTGATTAAAAAGAATGGCAAGCTAAGGATATGTGTGAACTTCAGAAATCTGAATCTGGCAACACCAAAAGATGAATATCCTATACCTATTGCATATTTGCTGGTGGATGGCGCAGCACGCCATCGAATTCTGTCATTTATGGACGGCCACAGTGGGTATAACCAGATTTTTATAACAGAAGAAGACATCCCAAAGACCGCTTTTCGCTGCCCAGGAGCTATTGGTACGTATGAATGGGTAGTAATGCCATTTGGTTTAAAAAATGCAGGTGCAACTTATCAAAGAGCCATGAATGCCATCTTTCATGACATGATTGACCGTTTTATGGAAATTTATATTGATGATGTGGTTGTGAAGTCTAATGAGGTTGAGGAGCATCTGGTGCATTTAAAGCTGGCTTTCGAAAGAATGAGGAAGCATGGTCTGAAGATGAATCCTTTAAAATGTGCATTTGGCGTTTCTGCTAGGAATTTTCTAGGATATCTGGCGCATGAGCGAGGTCTGGAAGTAGATCAGAACAACGCAAGAGCTGTTATTGAGGCACAGCCGCCAAGAAATAAGAAAGAATTACAAAGATTCCTTGGGCACGTAAATTTCTTGAGACGTTTCATTTCAAATCTGGCAGGAAAGACAAGAGTTTTTTTGCCACTACTGAAGCTGAAATCAGAAGCAGATTTCAAGTGGAGGAAACACCACCAGATCGCCTTGGAAGAAATAAAGCATTATTTATCAAAGCCGCCGGTCTTAGTGCCTCCTTTAAGAGGCAAACCTTTGATTTTGTACATATCTATCGTAGATGAGTTTGTTGGTTGTCTGCTGGCTCAAGAAAATAGTAAAAAGCAAGAACAAGCTGTTTATTATTTGAGTCGCAGTCTGTCACACACCGAAGTGAAATATTCTTTGGTCAAGAAATTATGTCTTGTTTTGTTTTTTGCTGCAATAAAATTGAGACATTATTTGCTTTATTCCGAGGTTTATGTTATTTCAAAAATAGATGTTATAAAGCACATGTTGTCTCGACCACTGTTGAAAGGCAGAATTGGAAAATAGTTTCTGGCTTTGTCAGAATTCAACCTGAAATACATGCCTCAAAAAGCTGTCAAGGGGCAGGTCTTGGCAGATTTCCTAGCAGATCATCCGTGCCTGAAAGTAGAAGCGGATGAGGAAAAAGGTATTAATTTATTTTCCATAAATCTGGTACCTTGGAAGCTTATCTTTGATGGATCTAACAGAGATTCCATATTTGGAGCAGGAATTGTTATTATTTTTCCAATTGGTTTGAAAACCCAGATGTCATTTCAGTTGGATTTTGATTGCACCAACAATCAAGCTGAATATGAGGCGTTGATTATTGGGTTGAAAGTGTTGGTAGAACTCAAGGTATCTATGGTAGAAATAATTGGTGATTCACAATTAATTTTAAAGCAATTAGAAGGTGAGTACAAGTGCACTAGTTTGTCTTTAGCGCTTTATTTTGCTTTGGCAGTTCAACTTTTGGAGGAATTTGATGATGTAATCTTGAGGCATGTTACACGAGATCTGAACACAAAAGCAAATGAGATGGCACAAATCTCCTCAGGCTTAAAAATCCCATAAGGCGTGATGAGCTAAATTGTTGTTATGGAAAAACGAATTCTGCCATCTATTCACATGCGTGGTATGGTAATTTCTGCTTGTTCCATAGACATAACCCAGACAAATTGGCGCTATCCGATCGTGGAATACCTAAAAATTCCAAATTTAAAGGCCTCAAGGAGGACAAAAATGCAAGCCTTAAATTATGTTTTGCTGGAAGGTGTTTTGTATAGAAGAGGACATGATGAACTACCTCTGCACTATCTTGGTCTAGATGAGTACTGCTAGATTATGCCAGATGTGCATAATGAAATCTGTGGTGCACATCAGGCTGGAATTAAGATGCGTTGGTTGATTCGCAGACATGGATTCTTTTGGCCATCAATTTTGAAAGATTGCATCAGTTATGCCAAAGGTTGCTAAGCCTGCCAGATTCATGGACCGCTGCAGAAAGTTCCAACATCAGAACTCCATCCAATTATCAAACCATGGCCATTTCGAGGATGGACCATAGATCTGATTGGTAAAGTTTACGCTCCTTCAACCAGAAGGCATTCTTTTATTATTGTTGCTACAGATTATTTTACCAAATGGGTGGAAGCAAAGCCAATGAAGAAGGTTGACAAGACCAATATCATTAAATTTCTTAAGGAAGATATCATTCACAGATTCCGTCTGCCAGAAACAGTAACATCAAATCAGGGGATAGTTTTTGTTGGTGCACAAGTTGAGGCGTTTACAAAAGAAATGGGTTTTCGATTACTCACTTCAACCCCTCATTATGCTCAAGCCAATGGTCAAGCTAATGGTCAAGCTAAAGCTTCCAACAAAATTGTGATAAATCTGCTCGAAAAAATGGTTGATAATAATCCAAGGCGTTAGCATGAGCTGTTATCTAACATAATCTGGGCTTACAGAACTTCACAAAGGAGTTCTACCAAGGTAACTCCTTTCTCTTTAACTTATGGACATGATGTTGTTCTACCCATGGAGTTGTCTGCCAGATCATTGCGTATAGCGATTCAAAATGGTCTCACTTCTGGAGAATATAATGAGGCAATGATTTTAAAGTTAGAAGATCTTGAAGGCATGCGATTGACAGCCTTAGATAGGCTGCAAATGCAGAAATTAAAAGTAGCTCGAGCTATAACAAATGGGTGAAATCCAGAAGTCTGGCAGAAGGAGATCTGGTATGGAAAGTAATTCTGCCACCTAGAAAGAAAGATCCCAAATTTAGGAAATGGTCTCCAAATTGGGAAGGACCATTTCGTATACATAAAGTGCTTAGAGGGGGAGCATACTGGCTTGAGTCATTAAATGGAGAGTTACATCATCGAAAGATAAATGGAATCTACCTTAAGCCTTACTATCCTATGATATGGGAGGCTAGAGATCTGGATACTATAAATTCTACCTGAATCAGATTTTGAGGTAGGAATTGTACAATATTTTTCTTTCCTTTTAGCATTTTTCAATTCAATAAAAAGTGCTGAGCCGAATCTGTAAGTAGGCCAAATTTGGCCGTGAGCAACCAGAGTGGCCAGATTTCGACCATAACAAATTTCAACCTGTAGCAGAGTATGAACATAATGTGCAACAAATAGATTTCCAGAATATGAGCAAAGAAAGAGATCAACATTGAAAAAGGAGTTTGCATGGCCAATAGGCCGCAAACAATAAGTTCAAGGGTCACAATAGACAAGTTCAGCTAACAAAGAGAAAAAGAGATACATATAAGAAGAAATCAACAAAAGTTGCTTTACCAACTATTCCATTCTTCTCTCATGTTCTTGAGTTCTTCAACGGCTTCATCTGCAGAAACTGTGAAAGAAGGGAGTTGATCCTTGATCTTGGAAACAGATTTCAGGCCAGCTTCCATATCTGTTTGGAGCTTGTTCCGTTGTTTCGCCAAATTCTTCTCCATTTGCTCCGCAAGAGGAACTTGGCTTCTCAATTTTGCAAGCTTGGCTTCAAGGTTAGAAATTTCCTCCTTGAGATCATGGAGATGTTTGATCTGTGCCACATGAGCGACCTTTGCTGCCAAGAATTCTTCCTTCTTCTTAAAGACAGTGGCAGTGCCATCTGTTACAAACTTCCTGACAAATTCTGCAGCTGCTACCTTGCTCTCAAGTGCCAAGAATTTCTTGCTGAAATCTGCATAAATGATACAGAAGTCTGCCCAAATTTTGTGTTTAGCAGATGACAAATGTGGAGCTTGGCTAAGAATTTGAGCCGCTTCAAAAGCAGCTGGTTGATCTGGTACTCTGCAAAAGTGAGAAAGATCACCATCAACAAGCTCCTGCAAGGTTAAAATGGCGAACTTAATCTGCTCTTGCGAAGGGGGATCAGTATCCAGATTTGTCTCCTCAGCAACAGATTTCCCTTTGCTATCTGAAGCAGATTCTAATTTGACACATGGGTCCACCAACATGTCTAACCTAGCAAGAAGCTCGTCCTCCAAGTCATCATCAACCACAGAAATATCAACCGCAAAGCTCTACACAAATTTGAAAGCAAAAGTCCAAAATTATCAACTACAAGACACAGTGCCAGAATTCAAAATCTACACAGATTTAGAATAGTAAAACAACCTCAGAGTCATCAACATCAACATGCCTAACAGGAGAAGCCACAGGTGTAGGAACATTCTCTTTTTCTGGGCTTAGATCGATAAGTTCATTCGGTCTAACTATTTTAAAGCTTTTATTAGCTATGCGCAAAGAGAATCTAGAGCTCCTAACCTTTGTGGCTGGTGAAGAACCATTGCCAGATTTTGTATGGAAGAGGGCAGAATCACCTTCATCACTTGCAATAATTTTTTCTTCAACATGATCTGGCTTGGGAGAGACATCTTCTGTTTTGTTAGGTTAAATCTGGGTTTCCGTGGCAGAAGTGGATTCTAATGGAAAGGCAAATTCGATGAGCTTCTTGGCAGCTGCAAGTTTCACTGCTGACCTCTTGATTCCTAAAAAAAAAAAAAAAAAGGAAAGAAAGGAAGGTTAGCAGAGAGTATTTCACAAAGTTGTAAGCCAAAGCAGATTTACCTCCAGTTCTTTGCTGCTTGGAGGGGGTATACTCCTCTGAAGAATCGGCAGAAATGGTAATCTTCCTCTTGGTTGGAATTCTGGAAGTACTCCTTGGCAGATTTGGTTTTTTAGGATGGATGGTTAAGGCAGATTCCAAATCACCACTTTCCTCTGCAACACTCTTTTCTTCAGATTTCTTAGTGAGTGGCGGAGGGACTAGAGCAGAGATGTTATCTAAAACTCCTAGAAACTGAGGTTGAAAGTATCCTTGCCACCAAGTTTTATAAGAGGAAGTGCAGTTCGGTTGGAATGAAGGATCTGGCAGAATCATGGTTTGTAAGATTTGGGTGATTTTGGCAAGAGTGGAGGTTAAGGTATCTGGTTCTCCTATCACAAACCAGAGAGGGTAACTGTGGTTGAAAGAAAACAACGGCAGGAATGGAATGTCTTGGCAGTATCCAAGCTGCCGACAGAATTGGTTTGGCGCATATAATTCCATCCCACATCTGGAATTGAGAACTGTCAGATTGCAACCTACAAACAAATCCCTTGAAATCACACAGACGAACCAGAATGCTCTGAAATCTGGAGACTAGAAATCGGCCTTGTACCATGAAGGGCCGTGAGATCTGTTGAGAAAGACAGTGAAATCTGCATCAGGTCGATTGATTGGAAGGGAAGCAAAAAACCTGAAACACTCATCAAAACTTTTCTTGTTTTCTGCGGCATCTCTGAACATGAAGCCGTAGGTAAGTAAATCATGACCTAGAACAGCAGATAAAACAGGAGCAAGTGTTGGAAAATAAGAATAAAGCCACAATTGCAACGCCCAAAGTGGCCCACCACTACTACCTAGAGGATAGGCAGTGACATCCTGGCAGCTTCTATACAGATAAGCAAGCAAAAAAGGATCCAAAGCAAAACACCTACCGTGTACTAATGCAGCGGCTAATGGAATAAATTCTTTAGTGGGACCCTTTCCAGCAAACAAACCATATACTTACAAATTAGTGCAAGCAGAAATGAAATGTGTTGTTGAGCGCCGACAGGCTTATTTTTGTCACAAGCAGATCTCACGAAGGTTGGATAAGAAAGCTTCATATCTGTGGAGTTGTACTCAACACCTGGTGGCAATGTTAGAAGTGCTGAAACTTCTCCCATCCAAGGTAACTCGGTTAATGAACTGATGTCAAAAAGCTCACAGACATAGCACTGCAAGGGAAATGAAAGCAGTTGAAAAAGCCAGACCAAAATAGCAAAGCCGAACTCAAGGTCGGCTTGTCCATGGTAAATCTGCACGTGGTTAATTCCATAAACTCAAACAAACCCACATCCCTCCAAATTTGGCCGAAGGTGGGTTCAAGACGGTTCACGCAGTCAACCCATTCGGATCTCCTCCAAGCCGGCCAAGTCCCGAAGTGCCTAACCCACTTGCTCTAATCGAGTTTCACCTGGAAAGGGAGGGGGTGTTCTTTCGGCTGTGGGTAAAGGAATTTGAGTGAAAGGGGTGGAGGAGAAATGAAATATGGACACAAAATTTGAGAGTTCATGTGGGGAACAAACATTTGATCTGAATGGCTTATTTTATGGTGTTGAAGAACTTGTTTGATTTCATTTTAGAGGTTTTTGGTTTGAAAGAGGCTCACTAGATCTGCAGGAGGCGACTTCTTAGAACAAAAAGACTTGGTTCTAGCCATGGCAGCAGCAGATTCGATGGGAGAAGGCTATTCTTCTGGGTCGTTGGCCATGGATGGAGCAGATCTGGGCGAGGAAAGTAGAGGAGAAACAGCCGGCAATGACCCGAAGAAGAAGAAGGTTAAAAGGAGAGTTTTTGACTTTTGATTTTCAAAAAGCCCTTATTTTTAGTGATTTTTTGGAAGTTTAAAAGTTAAAAGAATTGTAAAAATGGAGGAAGTTGTTCGGTGGCTGGATAAAAAGAGGAAGAGAAACAGCCGGCAGTGATGGCAGTGATGTGGTACCGGGGAAGATGAAAGGGTTAAGTAAATTGACTTTTCCTTACCTTTTGGATTTGAAAAAAAAAAAGGGGGGTAACAACCGGCAATGACCCAAGGAAGAGGAAAGGATTAAAGTAAGTTTGACTTTTCCTTACCTTTTGGATTTAAAAGTTAAATGAATTTTGAAAAAGGAGTGGCTGGGGTTGATATAGAAAATTGGTGCAGGAGATATTTTAGGAGTTGCTTTTAAAGGAAATTTGACATGTGGCTTGGGTAATTAAGGAGATGAAGATAATTTATTTAATTAAAACACTTGGATTTATTTCTATAAAATCAAGTGTTCGAGGTATTGTTTACATCATAAATTATAAAATTTTAAGATAAAGTCATATGTAAAATATTTTTTAGTGGATGGAGGAGATTAAGCTAGGTCAAATTCGTAATTATGGATCCCATGACAAATCAGCTGTCATTTTGGTAAAAAAGGGGAGATAAACATGAGATTTTACTGTATAATTATAATTTGGAAGTAAAAAGGGACTGTTTGACCTAAAATATAAGAGAGGATTGCAGTTAAAGAGGGATTTTATCTTATAAAGATACAGATGATGAAAATCTGTAAGGAGATTAGATCAAGTCAATTGGTGAGCTGTCCCATTATCTCAAGAAACCACCCATGATTGTGTAACTGCAGAAAGTGGAGGTTACTGCCGGCACAAGGAGAACAAAAAGGAAATTTTGGAAAGGAGAACACACAGTCAGCCTTATTCAAACATCTACAAATTTTCAAACTTTATTTTCTCTGCAATCTGCTTCCAAATTTTGAATTTCAACACAGATTCCAATAGAATTAAGTTATTTTTCATCATTCCAGTTGATAAATTAATTCATGTATTCAGTTCAACAATTTCCTTTCATGCAATGAACTTTAATCTTTCAAGTTTATGCAAGGTACTGTTCTCTTTCTATTTACAATTAATTTAATGTTTATGATAAATAGCATTTATTCAATGATTACTTATGTGATGTTCACACTTCTTTTCAACTTCAAGCATGTTATTTTAATTACTGTTCATGTTAATTTTAATGTTAATTAGGGTAAAATCTTTAATTCTGCAGCATTTTAATTTTCAGATCTGTCAGTAGATAGCATTTTAATTTAACAATAAACATGTTTGATTTAATTTGGACACATTTTATTCTCGTAAATTTATTTTAAATTGTAAGTTATTTAGTTCAATTAGGATTTGTTAATTTTAAGTTACGATAGTGTTTAAGTCCTTGAAGTTGTCCAAGGCAGATTTCGTAACTCATTCTATAGGAAAGTATCTCTCCCTCTTGCAAATCATCTATAGGCACAGATTTCAATTTTAATCCAACGTTCTTTCCGCCATCCACAAAGAGGTCGACCACGAGGAAAGAGAGGGTCGTTGGGAAAGTCCTCCTTTCTTACTTTCAGCAAAGTAAGTGGGACACCCGCATTCAGATTTCACACATGCGAGGGCAGTAGAGGATTTTTGGGGAAACAGTTCCACATTGATTTTGTTTTCTACCCTGCTAAAATCTTCTTGAATTTTTCTTAAAGTGAATGCTCCTTTTTTATTTAAAACAAGCACTGTTTTAAGTCATAGTGCAGTCTTGACCTTTCTAAGGGAAGGCTTCAGTTTTGCTAATGACGGTGAGCCATGAAAATAAGAATAAAATGAACATAATCAATGCATGAACTTATCATTTGCCAGTTCATTAAATAAAGAATGAACAAATTATCTAGCACATGGATGTTTCATCACAGCATTTGGCTGTTCTAGTTCTGTTGATCACTCGCTCTACCTAGACTCAAGACTGTGCTCTTAAATTGACTTAATATAACTTCAAAATTTCGGTTTAATTAGTAAATTTGTAAACTGCATCAGTCATATGATCTCCTTAGGAAGTAAGAAGTAAAAAGTTGAAAATAAAATTCATAAGTTCATTTCAGACCATGGCTAA